TTATTATTATTATTATTATTTTGAATCTTCATTTTCCACATGTCCTGTCTTTTCTATATAAGATGCTTCACAAGCTCTCTTGGTTTGCAAGTTTTGTAACTGGAACCATTCTGCAACAATTATCTGGCTCTCCTGTGCTCTGACAGAGGTTTTTGTTCAAAGTGGTGGCAGCCAGTACCTCGTATCAGGACACAGCGATGCTCTGAAGTGGGGTGGAGGGGAAAGAGAAATCTTCAAAGTGCGAGACATTTTATTAAGGAAAGGCTAAGAATATCACATCTCTGTCAAGTGTTTAGTCACACAAATTACAGTAATATCAAAAGGTATAATTTATGCAGGACAGTTCTCTTAATTGGCACAGACCCTGCTGGAGCCAGAAAGGTGCCACTTGAGCAATTGTCCTGATTATCAGAGACTCATAGGAATACGCTTTTCGAATCTACATAAGAGATGGAAGAAAACTAGTGGGTCAGCATCTTTATCCTCCTCTGTCAATGCAGAATAATTCCCTGCAGTACTGTTTCTATCTCTAAATTACTCATGTGATAAGGTTTAGTCCACTTTCCTTGAAAATTGTTTCCCAATCTAATAAATTTCGTTGTTATTTCACTATAAAGTGTCCTCTGCTTAATTTCCTCACTTTTCTCCAATTTACATATCACCCCTTATTATAGCTATGAAATTAAGCCCTCTCTTTCTCTTCAGTGTTCCTAGCCTTTGGGTCTTAATATGACTCCACCAGTCACCTCTTCACCCATCATTTTGCCAACCGAAACACTACACAGCCAATGTCTCAGAAATGGTCACTGGTGGTTCTGGGTGCCCCATTTTTCTGGTGCCTGATCTACAGTACCTTGAGGGGCCTGATTGAGCCCCTTTAAGTTATTTGTGAGCTGTTCACCTGAAAACTAGGGAGCACGGGCTAGCTAGTTGTGCAGAAAACGTGACTTAACTCTCAGTCCTGATGAACACTTAATTGCTCTGGTCAACACAAGTCGGAGGTGTGGGCGATGAGCAGGGCTCTGAAGCCTGCCACACATTTGTCTGCCAAAAAGACTGTAGCTGTAACAGAAAATTCACTTTTTCTGGAATTTCTGGGAAAAAAAAGTGTTAACACTGTTAACTTCAACATGGCTCATTCAGGAATGATGATGAGGAACAGAAGCAATGGAGAGAGGTTGTAGCCCAGGAGTCTGTCCACCATTGAGTCAAAGTAGTAAAGCTTCTTTTGCAGACCGCGCTGTTTGCACGGATGAGGGATGCCATTTTCTGCACAGCTAGCAATCCAGTCTGAAATTTCCTCTTTGGCAGTCATCCCAGTTAAATTAATCTGTTATTTATCAGGGTGTAGAATCACTTCAAAGAGAAAAAAATGAAGCGACTCTGCTTCCAGTGGGAAGAAAGACATTGCCAGAACCAAATGCTTTTGTTTCTTCATGAAAGTTGTCTAGTCTGGATGAAGTGCTTTTAGTCGCTCTAGATGTGCTGCTGTTCATCTCTTCTGGTGTAACTGGAGTAACTGGAGGAGGAGGGTGGAAGCGCAGAGCATTGCAGTCCATCTTCCTACCACAGACATAAGGAACGAATCCTACAGTTGTACAGAAGGTTGTTTCAAAATGCTGTTAATTGGGGTTCTCTGCTAACTCTTCTGATACGGTGTGGTCATGACCATTGACCCTGGTCAGAAAGAGTGGGTTTCCTCACAGACTGCTGTTTCCCAGTGGCCAGCTTGCAAGGATACAGACCAGATAGGTCCCACTCTCCCAGCTTCAGTTACCCTCAGCAGAGGCACGGGTGTTGAGGGGTGAGGGCAGAGGGGGTCTCAGGAGCACCGAGCTGCAGTACTTGCCAGTAGCAGGCCGCATGCGAGTCCATTTGACTGTGCAACCCTTGTGCTAAAGTGATCCTGACGCCAAAGTCATGTTTCTTTGTTTTCAGTCCCATTTGGTGAAGTGCCGAGCTGCATGCACCGCTGTCGTTGTCAGTGTCATATAATACCAACGACTTTCGGAAAGCACTAATGAACAAGTGCAATTTCTTTTCTCTATTGTTGGGTTTTTTGTAAAGTTGCTCAAATGCTCTCAGGTATGGCGGCCCTGAACGGAGGACTCGGCGCCACAGGCTTGACGAACGGTACGGCCGGCACCATGGACGCGCTCACCCAGGCCTACTCAGGAATCCAGCAGTACGCGGCCGCCGCGCTGCCCACGTTGTACAGCCAGAGCCTGCTGCAGCAGCAGAGCGCCGCGGGCAGCCAGAAGGAAGGTAAGCGCCTGCCGCCAGCCGAGCAAGGCCTGCGCCAAGCAAACTTGCCACAACAGCAGTGTTGTGGGTTCATTTCTTCACAGAGGCTTAATGAGGGACCTCGAGTAGCCTAATCTTTGATTTATTTTTTTTTCCGTTTTCTCCTATTTACTACTGTTACTCTCTTTAACCTCTAATGCAATTCATTTTTTTAACCATCTGTCTTCAAGTTACACTATACTGACCATCCTTTCTTATATAAAAGCATGTACCAACTACAGCGTAAAAAGGCACCAGTAGCAAAAATCATCCCTTTCTGGGTGCCGTCCTCTCTTCTGGTTTCCATTTTCTGTGATAATGGAGCTAATCTGATTAGGTTTAAGGTTTTGAGTTAATGACAAGATCCGTTTTCACTTTGAGTGGTTCTTTGCTTAATTGTGGGTCTTGTGGGGAAGCAACTAAATGAATGATTGCCCCTTCTCCCTGTGCCAACAGCAAATAAACCTCAGGAAGTTACTGCTAAGAATAAATGAATACTAATTACAAGATGTTTAGGAAAATGAGGTTACCCTTTTCCCCTCTTCCATTCCCCTGCACTCTTCCCAGGCATTTTGGGGGTTTGTTTCTGTTTTCATTGCTTTCTCTCATCCTAATTTCCAGCCAATTCTAGAAGGACAGGAAAATATTGCATGCTTTCGAAGATTGTCTCCATGTTGTCACTGCTGTTCTTGCCAGGGCTAAGCTTTGGAAATAAACTTAGTATAATATCCTCAAGAGAAATTTTTTATTCTCCTTTAAAATAGTATCTTGTACTGTTATGGGAAGTGTTTCCTAGGAAAACAAATTTGGCATTCCCCCAGCTGGCTATGGTACAGGGACAAGGGAGTTTAAATGTATATTTTCTCTTAATTCTTTACTTCATTTAGTGCTAACAGCTTGGATTATTTAAAATTAAATTGGTTATTTTTAATTAACTTTTTTTTTCCTCATTTTTTTTGTGTTCTCTGCATTTATCTTTCATTTCGCTCACTTTGGTCAGAGACAACAGACTATTTGACACCAGAAAGGAACTGTTTCTTTGGTGTCATTGTAAGATACATATCGGAGGACAGGTTGATTTTTTTCTATTTCAGTGTTTTCCTGTTTATGAATGTTCATAGCAGGTGTGGGCAGCGTCGCTTTAAAATGCAGTCTCTTTTTTGTTATATGTCTTGTTTCTGTTTGTTAGGGGTTAAGTGAGTAAATTCCATCATTGACTACTGACAACTCTGTTTTGTCTCTTAACATGATTTCTGATGGAATGGTGAAGAGTCTGGAGTGGTTGAGGATGAACAAGTACCAAGGAGAAATGCTCTATAAATATTAAAAACTGAAGCACAGTGACCTGCCTTATGCATATGCTGTAAACTATTGTTTATAAGTTTTTTCTTACTATTTTAAAAAAGATTACTTTCTGGACAGGATAGTTTACTTATTGTAAGAAGAAATAAGTTCCACGTAGCAAATTTTTTTCCTCTTTTTTTCCACCAACCAAAAGTGTTTATCTTCTTAAAACCGTTTTTTTTTTCCTAATCCATTTATCCCCTCCTTTTGGGCAAACATTTTCACCTTTTCCTTCAGGCTGAGAAACAGCAGCCAGCCTGGTTCCTCTGTATGGGAGAGGTGAGGCTTCGTGACTCTGTTGCAGAAGGTACTTCATAATCTGATGTGCGCTTTCCTCTTGCTCTCCAGAAAGCCAAGGACATCACATCTGAGGCTCACTTAGGTTCCATTAAGCAAGGGAATACCTAAGCAGGTTACTCTAGATGTGTTTTTACCAGCAATGTTTGTTCCCTTTGTGTACCACTTATGCTCCTGGTGTCTGCAGGGAAAGGCCACATGTCTGACTCCATCATACATCATGTTCTTCCAGGCATCCATTGCTCATTTCCAGTGTCTTATATTAAAGGAGAGGTTGAGCCAGGGAAATAAATAACTTATTAGTGCTAGGATGAGTGTTTAAACAAACAGCACTCGAATTCTGGTTGTAAGAAAAATATTGAAAGCACTGTTGAGTTTGCACCTTTCTTTACAAACTCAACTTTGTCTAAAGCCAAATTAATTTCAACCCTACAACTTTATTTTGACTTTTTTCTAAAAGACTTACTTTGCAAAGTTTATTCCAGGAGACAGAGCTTTCTACGGAGAATTTTTTTCAAAAGAAAGCTGTCATTTTGAAATGAGTCAGTGCAAATTGAATTCTGAGTATCTTTCTCCCTCTGACTTCCCTAATTTCCAAGTCATAAGGTTTGCTTTGTCTTATCCTTTATATTCCCATCTCCACCAGTTTCCTGCCCTTTGAGTTTACATCTTTGATACTCAAATCTGAGCTCAGCTCATTGCATTTCCATGAGTTCCCACAGCTAGAATTAAACCGACAAACCCATGCGGGTGTTTGAGGCAGCGAGGACTCCTTGTGCAGTTCTTGGGGTACGGTGAGAGAGTAATACATTGTGTACCTGTTTTCCTAACCTTAATTGTACTGAAAGACACTCATACAAATTCAAGAAAGAGGCTGCAGTTTAACTTCTTCTGTAGTAGAGTTTTCAAGTAAACACTTTTCAAGATATGATGCTCTAAAGAGCTGCGTGTCAGTTCTGTTCCTTTGATGATCCACTTGCTTTTGTTCCTTCAAAGTTAGAAAGTGAAATGCTTTCTGACCATCACCTTCAGTAAGTACTATGGAAAAAGTAGGTAAAATATAGCACTTGTAATAGCTGTTTTCATACTTCTGTTTTGTTTTGTTTTCCTAAAGGTCCAGAAGGGGCAAACCTCTTTATTTACCACCTCCCCCAGGAGTTTGGAGACCAGGACATTCTGCAGATGTTCATGCCTTTTGGAAATGTTATCTCTGCTAAAGTCTTCATTGACAAACAGACCAATCTGAGCAAGTGCTTTGGTATGTCAAACTTAATAAATTGACTAGTAAAAACCACATGCACTGTACTGAAAAGGGGCCAGGAAAGAAAATTAACAGCAATATGAGAAATGTCATACTGGAAGCTCCTTCCAAAAATAATGGACTGTTAATCCTCAAATGAGCGGGAAGATGCTCAGACAGGCTACTTCTAACTAAAAATTGGATATGAAAAAACAATAATAATCTTCCAGTCTGACATCTCGCATGAATGTGTCAAGTACATGAAACTAATTACACCCTATGTGGGGGAATGTCATTTACTATACTATTAAACTGCCTTATTAGGGATACCTAATTATTCTCTATTGTATAGCTGAGCCACTTAAAAACACTCTATGCTTAACCCATTACTTCTACATTACAGGAATTTCTTTCTTCTGAATTAAGTACAAGACTTTGCAATTAGTGATTGAATGGTGTGTACGTGTATTTCAGAATGCTTTACAGACAGTTGGTGTCTGGATATGCAGCTCCAGCTGTGGGGGACGGGCTCCAGTCTATTATGGAAGGTAGCATCTCCCCTCACCTTAGAGCAGGGATGAAGGGAGCCTCACAAGATCAGTGTCAAATTTCCCAGAGAACACTGTGAGCTGCCAGAAAATCAGATCACAACAGAGGAGAGGATGATATGTTGGTATAAAACAAGTTCTAGGGTTGACTAAGTGGGCTGATGTCTTTTGAATAGCAAAAATGCATCGTTTGATGGAGTGGGGTACAGAATGTAAGTGAGTGGCAGTCTGTTAGACCATTGATCTGGTAACTGTGGTCTTATGCAAGACATGAGGAGGGTCTATGAGGAAGAAAGAATCTCTTAAAGATAACTTTTATAAGGTTTGACCTAAAATATTGGATCTTGATAAAACTTACAGTTCTTTCCCAGAGTAAACGAATCCAACTGCATGTGTGTCAAAAACGTAACCAGTCCAGACAACCCCTTGGTTTCCAAAACTCCTTTGTACCAACAGTGTTGTTCTTTGCCTAGCACTGTCTCTTAATTCCGAAGTGTCCCCATTAACAGCAATACATGTTTCTTAGCTTGCAAATCGCTGCTTCTTTTTAAATCTAGGTTTTGTTAAAATATGTCTGTCTAAGGATTTGACTTCACCTGGGCCATCAGGGTCCCCACAGTGATTGGGCTTTAACCCGTCTTTGAAGGGTTTGAATTTATCTGAACAGACAGTACCCAAAGACAAGGAGAGTTCATCAAGTTTCTGAGAAAAAACCTCCTGCACTGGAATCCAAGCCTGGCTGCAATCTGAATGTTTTTCAGCTGAAGACAAGCCCTTAGTACTCTTGGAAGGTTAATTTGGTTCAGAGAAAGGGTGCAACATTCTTTCTGCATTTTTCCATAGTCTTTCATTTCATTTTTTAAGCATTCTCTTCTTTAAGCTTTACAAAAAATTGTTCATATCTAGGCTATTATAGTCCAGCATGTCTCTGCAATGGGTTAAATCAGTCCCTGAGGCTGTAGCAAATTTGAAAAGTGAAAATGAAATGGACTCCCTATTGATCTGGAGCCAGTTCAGTTAGTATGTTGGGATGACAAAATCGTTGTTGAGGTCTCTAGGAATCTTGATGAAATGTTAAATCAAGCTATGTTAATCGAAATACAGCAATTGTGGTGACTGCTGAAAGAATGCAGATTAGTTTGGGCAGGCAGCTAAATTCATCAGCTCTCTTCCCACACGTGTTTTCGTGGGTTTCCTTTTATTCTTTGGTTACCTCTTTTACACTTTTGTATGGCTTGGAGTGGTGCACTGAGGTTATCTTATTTGAGGGAAAAAGGAGCAGGCAACACCCAATGGATGGAGGAGTCCTCAGTCTTTTCAGCATTGGTCAGCTTTCAATAATATTTCAGTTTCTCATTCTTCCTCAGATATTCTGCCACCAGTGAAAGGGTTCTGCTTTAAAAACAAAAAGTACTGCAGTGGCAGAGGAAGTTGAGATTTTCTGATTCAGTAGGTGGCTGCTTGGTGATGCTGCTAATCACAGGCAAAGCCAGAATTAATCTTGCTCCTTTAACATACTAGCATAATCTGTATATACCTCTTCAGCTTTATTAGCAATTATCATCTATTTGTTATTTTGGTCCCGTATTTGTGTTTGAAAAAGCTGTACTTTTTTTTCTCTGTCCTCACACCAAAAACCGGGACAATAGTGCATCTGAAGAACCCATTTCCCTCCTGTGGTGTTAATGGTCATTGCTCTTGGTACAGTTTGGGTTTGGAATATTTTTGTTGCATGGTTTGGTCTTTTATTCCTTTGTGAATAAGAATAAGAATAAGAATAAGAGTAAGAGTAAGAGTAAGAGTAAGAGTAAGAGTAAGAGTAAGAGTAAGATTAAGAGTAAGAATAAGAATAATGTTTTGGACATGCTTGATGCTTTCTACTCTGGAGTTTCCAATCTCCTGCCCAAAGGAAGCAGAAGTCAATTACGGGTGAGGACAGGTTGAACACCAGAAAGGTGAAAAGATTGTCCAGGGCTGTCCACTGGCAGAATTGGGAAGGGAAGGTGCATTCTGAGAGAGTCACATTGGTTAGAAACATCATCCCATCCTCATGTAACCTGCGGTTTAAATTTCAGGCAAAAAATGATAAATGGGTGCAATCAGAAAAACATAAATAAAGGGACACAATGCCAGAGTCCTCTGTAAGCTTTATAAATGAAGGTTCTCAATAAGGGAGAAGTTGAAAGAGTAACAGGTTAATGTAGATACAGAGTTCTGTGTAAAGAGACAAATTGTGAATCATAATAACTGAGTGATAAAGGGTGATGCAACCAATGCAGCACAGAGGTTGTAAGTTTGAATTTGTGACTGAGTCATGGAAGCTAATAAAGAGACTTGGGTTGAAGTGACTACTGTCATCCCCCTGGAAGGTAAGCACAGCCTGATCTAATTGTTCTGTCATCAGCAGAGGTGTTGAAATTGGTGACATGAATGGTGGGTGGAAAAGCCACCTCTGGATGCACTTGCTTCTCTTCATTCACCATTCATGGGTGCCATATAAGTGACTACTTTAGATCACTTGCTTAACTTTCAGGTGGCTAAAACTAGGTAAAAAGAAAAGGAACTAAGGTAATGAGAAGTTCATAGCAGAAGACTGTTCTGAATGCACTTAAGTGAACAAAGTGAAGGTCAGGAAAGCTGTAGAGGGAAATGCTGAAATTGTTAAGATAGGTAAGAGTATTTACATCTCAGTTGTCGAGCACCTGTCTGGAAGGTGCTACAGCTGCCTTCTAACTCATGGTCGATCTCTTTTCTATCCCTGAGGCAATCCTAGAGATCAAGGCTGAGATCTGTGAGCTGATGGAAGTAGATGCAGGAGTGCAGTGCTAAGTCATGTGAACAGATAAGTTCTCCTGGAAGAAAATAGAGGAAAGGAAGAAATAGAGGAAGAAAGGAAGAAATAAGCTACTCAGGATAAGGCAGTAATATTAAGAGGAAATAATCTAGTGAAGAAAGTGAGGAAGCGACAAGAGTTACTAAAGCCAAGGGAGGTATGGAGGAACATTGATTATCCCTTAAGGAGGTAACAATCAACCACAGAACATGAATACAGCACATTGGCTCTGGACAGGAGAAGGTGATTTAAGTGAGAGGTGTTTTTTCGAGGTGTTTTAGAGTGGGAGGAATAGAAGATAGAAGTTAGCCTGAGTTGTCAGAGAAGAGTCTGAAGTTAAAAAGTTTGGTGAAGTTGATTTAAGGTGAAACCATAGGGGTGATCTGTGAAGGAGAGCAGCTAGACAAGGACCAGATGGCTTGATAAGAGGCTTTTTTAATTTACAATGGGGAAAGTGTATCGTTCTGACACTGAAGATGGAAGAGGGCAGCAGTGCAAGGTAAGCAAGAGCCATAAAAGAACAGGTTAAAATGACAGTACAAAGAGGTTATGAATCAGAAAAGTACACAAGCAGTAAGCACAGATGAAGAAGGCTGGTAGAAGAGAGGCACTGAGAAGCCTGTGTTAGGACTGCAAAGAAAGTGTGTGGGATCCATGCTTTAACAGAGCAAAGGAATACATGTTAAGGCAAATTCAAATGGAAGGAAAAGGAAGCATTTCAAAGCAGGTGGGTAATAGCAGGCTGAGTACAGTAGTAATTAGCCAGAGCTGAAGCAGAGCTGCAGTTAGGTGAGCTTCACAATTACAAGTGGGAGGCCCAGATATAAAAATGAATTTTGAGCTTCCAGAATCAGGGAGATTTGAGTCCATTATGAACAGAGCATTTTAAGTCTCCCGGGGAAAAGAAAGCTGAGCCAGGCCAGCCATTCTGAATTACCCGAGCAAGCGTTATCCCCCTAGTTAGAGCTCACAACCAAGGAGCAGATCTGGAGTTCTCGTCAAGCCCTGCCGTTTTCTTTAATGATGCTGCTTAATTTTGATGCCTGCCTACACCTTTAGGGACTAAGAGGCTGAATTAATTAACATTTGATGTACCTTGAGATCTTGAACTGAAAGAAGCTGTAAAAATACAAAATATTAATGTTGCGACTGTCCTAGGCTGAGCCCAAGGAGATGAGTGTTTCACAGCACACAGGAGCAGTGCACGTGAACTCACATTCGGGTGTGCAAATGCATATAGGCATTGAAATTTGGGGTTTGCTTCTGTAACCAGGCTTTCTGTTTCAGCTTCACATCTGCAGACTGGCCTAATAGTACTTCCTAATAGACTGGGAGGTATGTAGATATTATACTGAAAGGTGTCACAGTAATGAGTATCTTCAGTCTCTCAGGTAGGTAGATAAATAACAGATTGGAAGCTGCATTGCACCAAAACTGGCCAACTGCATCCCAGCCTGTACAGAAATATTACGGCGGTAAAGGGGAAGGCAAAGGAAACGGGAGAGTAAATGGGATACGAAGTGCGATCAAAGAAGTAGTTGAGAGTGAATGTGTCAAATAAATAGTGATAATGAAATCCTAACAAAAAGCCTTCTGACATTTGTTCTAACCTATAGTTCGCTTTCTCTCCCGCCTCCGTTCTGTGTCTCGTAGGTTTTGTTAGCTATGACAATCCAGTCTCTGCACAAGCTGCTATCCAGGCTATGAACGGCTTTCAGATTGGCATGAAACGCTTGAAGGTTCAGCTGAAACGCTCCAAAAATGACAGCAAACCTTACTGATCTTAACCCCAGATGCTTACTGCTCTTATTTTAGCTTTCTTAGGGTAAGTCCCATGAGCAAACCTGTCCTCTGCAGGGGGGTTAAGAAAGAACATATAGCCAACCTTCACCAAGAGACAGTTATTTTTACAGTTACCACTTCCATTTCCCCACTTGTCCTTATTACACTTGGCTCCCATTTCCTCGCCAAGTAATTACTGAGTTGTGTTACTGTATTTTGTTTTGCAGCATAATTTATCTCCTTTGGAAAAAAAAAAAAACAAAAGAAATAAACGTCTTGAAATTCAAAGCAACACACACACACACACACACACACAAGCGAAAAAAAAAAAGATGTGCAATTTAACTCTGTGAACCCTGGTGCCATTAGCACACAATAAAAGTTGTTTTCTATGGATGGATCGTATTTTACCAGGGTGGCACCAGCAGTTTATAGGTTAAACAAAATGGCCTCATGCCAGTTGAAGCACTTACTTTGCAACAAAAATTGAAACAAGTCTTTCCACTACATCAACTTGTATTTTGAGAAGATTTGATTCTTTTTTTTTTTTCGGTTCCGATCAACGTATTGTTATCTATTAGTCTGATTTTACACTGGTCGTCTTTATATTTCACTTTTTTTTTAAGTTCTTGTTTTTTTTGGAAAGGATTAATGTAAAAAAGATTTAGAGATCTGTTTCTAAAGCTACAGGGTTTAAAATAAAAAAAAAATAAAATAAAATGAGTGACAATACTTGATGTTTCTTGAGAGATAAATTTAATAATAATAAAAAAAGAAAGCCACAGGCCTGTAAATTTTATTTGTAAAAAGCATTTCTATTTTTATACAAAATTTTTACTGCCTCAGAAATAATGGAAGTTATTTATTGCCTATTGTTAACTTATTGGATACCTAAAGAGCAGCTCTCTATGCTAGCTAGATCCTTTGAAGTAGTCTCTAGAGTAATTGTGCCAAGAATGGGCGCTTTTTCACTGTTGAACCCTACACCCTTTACAGTTCATGCTTTTATCCTCTTGTTTGTATTTGTCTGGTTATTTTGTTCGTAGTTTCCATTACCTAGTTTAAAGTTCGGTTGTCTGACCCTTTTTCCCCCCTCCCCGTACCTTTCTGTTACATTTGTAGAAACTGGTTCTTTCCTCTCTTTTCTCCCCAAAGAGGAATCCACTCACTCTGACTCCTTTCAGATGGATCCTTTTGGGGTTCCGTTGTGCTCTTGTTGACGAGTATTGTGAGTTAATGCAAATGATGGGAACGGCTCATAGACTCTACTGATAAAAGATTTGCATTGGTTTTCTCCTGCACCCATAAAAGTGATTTTGTTTGTGCTGCATAGATTCTGTGTAACTTTTTTTCCTCTTCCTTGTTTTTTCCCTAGACATCTCCATGCCCGTTAGCCCATCGTTTGCCTAGCATGTCCCTGTGGCGTCTCAAAAAAAAAAACAGTTTCATCGTCCCGTCATTGTTTCTGATGTCTTTCTGACCTCACATCATATTTGGTTCTCCTACTGACCTTTGACCTAGTTTGACCTTTGAAATTTGCATGTGACCTCATCTAGCTATGAATTCTGGGAAGTCAATGTGAAAAAACATTGCTGCATTCATGCAAGACTGAAATTTATTATTAGATAAATTAATGATAGGATTTAAAAACAACCTGTGGCAAAATGTTTTTTCTTTCTTTCCTTTTTTTTTTTTGGTTTTCTTGTTTCCTTTGGTTGTTTTTTTTTTTCGTTTGGGTTTCTTGTTTTCCTTTTATTTTTTTTCCTTTGTTCTTTTTCATTTCGTAAAAAAAAAAAATAAAAAAAAAACCAGACTTGAAAGTATTATACAGGGATTGGCATTCTGCCTGGTCACTGGTGACAATAGCAATATGTGTCCAGAGGCACAGAATGTTGGTTTCTAACAGACTACTTCCAAAACAGTTTGAGAAATAAAACTGTCTGATTTTAAGTCTCTAGAGGTCTGTAATAGTTTTTACATTTTTCAGGCAGTGTAAAGTTTTTTGATAAGGCCATTTTAGGTGGCTCACTTTCTCATTAAAGTATATATATAGAACCACTTTTTGTAGATTAGTATAAGAAAATATTTACCCTGTTTTAGGGCAAATGCTACCTACTTGTGTCACCTTTTGCTGAACTGACTCACAGTTAGACAATCCATGGTTTAATGCACATGAAATTACCTATATTTTATACTGTTTCAATGTACAGAAGAAAGGTTACTGTAAAATGTGTTACGTTGGTGCTTCTGTGAATTAAGTTGTGGTTTCATCATGAGTCTTATGGTCTTAAGTGTTCTATGTTTATAAAAGACGAGTTTAAAATTGGTTTACTTGAACAACAAGAACGAAAACAAGATTCAAAAAAAAAAAACACAAAAAAAAGTTGTTTGCTTAAAAAAAAAAAAAAGAATTTCATGTGAAAAATGAAAAAAATATTCCAGAATAAGTTTGTGTTGGCTTGTGACGCATTGATGTCATTTTTTTATTGTGGACAATTTAGATGTGTTTGTGTTCAGCAAAATGTGATCGGTTTTTCTTTTAAAGAAAAAAAAAAATCAGTGAAACTATAGTGCCAAATTCCAAAGGTACTTTCTTCCTAGAGCTTCAGTGTGTTTCTTGTGTGAAGTAATTTGATAACATGGGTATTTTATTATGTGTTTTGTATAAATCCCTAATATTTAAAGAAAACAGAGGTTAAAAAGTTTGTTAACTTGCTATCCTGTGGTCTTGTTGCCTGAAATTGTTATTGTTTGTTATTTCTCTTTGATGTTTTTTGTAAAACATTGTATAAGTGCCCATGTTTCACTTTTTTAACCACTCTGCACACATCAATGCTGTGAAAGCAAACCTCACTATGTATTTTCTTCATATTGTATGGAAACCTCTAAGGTGAGAAAGTTTTGAACTTTTAACCCTTTCCACCCAGAGCTGTCTTGAGTGTTAATACCTTTTATACATTCACCATTTTGCTGTTTATTTTTATATATATAT